ATATATGTGCATATTTAGGGAGTTGCTGGGTGCTTACCCAAGGGAGCTGAATCAATCTTCTTCCAAGGTGGGAGGTAGGTTTTTTTCTCCTTCCAGTCGCTGTACTCCTGGCAGCTGTCGCTGGGCTGGTCCCAGGGCAGCTCTGCCGGGAGATCCCGCTGCTGTCACCCCTGGTGCCACAACCCCCCAGGCACGCATGTGGCACTGTGGGGACGTGGTGACCCTGCCCTGCCATGGATCCTGTGTGCTCCCTGTGCATCCCAAACCTCCCTGAGCATCCCAAACCTCTCTGTGCATCCCAAACCTCTCTGTGCATCCCAAACCCCTCTGTGCATCCCAAACCCCTCTGTGCATCCCAAACCTCCCTGTGCATCCCAAACCTCCCTGTGCATCCCAAACCTCTCTGTGCATCCCAAACCTCCCTGTGCATCCCAAACCTCCCCGTGCATCCCAAACCTCCCCGTGCATCCCAAACCTCCTCGTGCATCCCATCGTTTCTCACACACATTCCATACCTCTCTGCATCCCAAACTCCTCCTGTGTCCCATACCTCCCCTGTGCCTCTCACACAGCCCCCTTACACATCACAAACATTCCCCTCCTGCAGCCCTCTATTCCTTCCATACACCCCTACAGATATTCCAAACATCCCCCTCCATGTATTCCACATCTCCCTTATGGATGGACACCTTCCATCTCTGTGTTTCACACGTCCCTCTCGCTGTGCACTCCATGCATCCCTCCCATCTCATGTGTGCTCCTTCCTCATCCCATACATCCCCCCATGCACTCCACACACCTCCCCTCGCACATTTCACCTGTGCACCCCTTCTGCATTCCATACATTCACCCCTGGACATTCCACAAACACTCCCCCATGTCCTCTGCACCACTCCTGCATTTCCCCCACACCCCTGAGCATGTCACATGAATTCCATCCATTCCTAGAGGCATTCCCACCTCTGCTGGCTGGATGTCACCCCCTGGGAATTCCACCCATCCCAACATTCCCACCTCCAGCCAGCATGGCCATGGGCACATCACCCCCTGGGAATTCCACTCATCCCAACATTCCCACCTCCAGCCAGCATGGCTGTCAGCACATCACCCCCTGGGAATTCCATCCATCCCAACATTCCCACCTCCATCCACCATGGCCATGGGCACATCACATCACCCTCTGGGAATTCCACCCATCCCAACATTCCCACCTCCAGCCAGCATGGCCATGGGCACATCACATCACCCTCTGTGAATTCCATCCATCCCAACATTCCCACCTCTGCCCAGCATGGCCATGGGCACATCACCCCCTGGGAATTCCACCCATCCCAACATTCCCACCTCCATCCACCATGACCATGGGCACACCACATCACCCTCAATGAATTCCACTCATCCCAACATTCCCACCTCTGCCCAGCATGGCCATGGGCACATCACATCACGCCCTGGGAATTCCATCCATCCCAACATTCCCACCTCTGCCCAGCATGGCTGTCAGCACATCACATCACCCTCAGTGAATTCCACTCATCCCAACATTCCCACCTCTGCCCAGCATGGCTGTCAGCACATCACATCACCCTCAGTGAATTCCACTCATCCCAACACTCCCACCTCCAGCCAGCATGGCTGTCAGCACCACGCCGCAGGCCCAGACGTCGACGGGCTCGGCGCGGAATTCCGGGCGCCGCAGCAGCTCAGGGGCCACGTAGGGCAGGGTCCCACACATCTTGTTCAGCAGCCGCTCCCGCCCGTTGTGCCGGAACACCGTGGCCAGGCCGAAATCCGAGATCTTCAGGTTGTCTGGGCCCAAACAACAGTGAAAAGCCAAGTTAAAACTTTAAATCAAAATTTTGCCCCCCCAGCAAAATTAATTTAAAATGCAAATTTGAATCTAAGTAGAAATCAAAATGTAGGTAAAAGTTTTAGTTATAAGTTCAAGCTTAAAATTTGTTTAAAAATTTGAGTTGAAAATAAAAGTTGAAGTTAAGATTTAAAGTTCTAAGTTTAAAAGTTTAACCTAAAATTTGAATTAAAATACAAATAAAATGAAAATGAATTAAAATGCAAATTCAAATAGAAGCTTAAATTAAGAAATGAAGCTAGAAACTGCAAAATCTTTACATTAAAAATATACTGTAGAATTTAAATTCAGAATAAAATTAAACACCTACATTAAAAGCTCAAATGCAAAATACAAGCATTCAAATTAAAGCTTTAATTTAAACACTCAAATAAAAAATACAAGTTAAGAACAGAAAACTTCATGGGGGTCAGAGAGGGACAAGTCTGCCCCCACCTCGCTCGTCCAGCAGCAGATTCTCCGGCTTCAGGTCGCGGTGGGTGATGCCAATGCTGTGCAGATACACCTGTGGAGGGGCAGGGTGAGCCCTGGGAATCACGGCAAGGGGCAGAGGGGCAGCCCTGGGAATCACGGCAAGGGGCAGAGGGGCAGCACCGTGTGGGAATCATGGCAAGGGGCAGAGGGGCAGCACCGTGTGGGAATCATGGCAAGGGCCAGAGGGGCAGCACCGTGTGGGAATCATGGCAAGGGCCAGAGGGGCAACACCGTGTGGGAATCATGGCAAGGGCCAGAGGGGCAGCTCCATGCAGGAATTGCCACTGGCAGCAGCGGCATCACCGCTGGTGAGCGCTCACCACGCCGGCAATCAGCTGCTGGAAGAACCGCTGTGCCTCCGGCTCTGGCATCCCAACATCTGGCTCTGCATGTGGGGAAGAAGAGGAGCAGTCCTCAGCCGTGTGGAGGTGACAATTTAGGATGCCCCATTGCCCCTAAATCCCCGGGTACCCCATGCCCACCGATGCGGTCGAAGAGCTCTCCGCCGCGGCAGTATTCCAGGAACAGGTACTGCGTGGCCCCCTCCCGCCGGTGGCCGTAGAACCGGACGACGTTCTCGTGGTTCAGCATCTTGTTGATGCAGATTTCCTTCTTGATGTTCTCTGGGCACTCGGCCGCGCGCTTCATGTCCACGATTTTCACGGCCACGGCCTCCTCAGTGCGGCGGTTCACGGCCAGCTGCACCCTGCGGAGGGCTGGGGTCAGTGGGGCACGGTGGGCATGGAGCAGGCAGGGAATGGGAATGAGAATGGGCATGGGAATGGGCATGGGAATGGGCATGGGAATGGGCATGGGCATGCTTCCCCCAGAGACAGGCAGCAAGCAGGCAGGGAATGGGGAGAAAAAGGAAACGCTGCCTCTGGAGACAGGCAGCAGGCAGGGAATATTGCTGCTGGAGACAAGGAACGGGCAGGAATGGGCAGCAAATGCTGCCCCTGGAGACAGGGGGCGGGCAGGATACAGACAGGGAATACAGGCAGGGGCACGATGGGCACGCCGGGTGTGCGAGGGGATGTGATGGGCAAACAGTGGCCCTGCAGCAGGGGCACGGACGGGGCGTGTGATGGGCGAACAGCGCGGATTGGGCAGGCCGTGGGCACACACACGGCACTTGATGGCCAGGAGGCGAACAAACAGTGGGCACGCAGTGGCCGCGCAGGGACGAGCAGCGGGTGCTCAAGCGGCACACGGCGGGGGCAGGGGAACAGCACCAGCGCAAGGGGCAGGGCACAGGGCAGGGGCGTGCAAGGGGCGGACCCG